ATCAGATGAACGAGAAAATGATGTTGAATCAAATGATTTTGTGTGTTTTTGGGTGGGTGTGGGTGTGTTGGTGTGGGTGTGGATGAGGGGTGTGGGTGTGGGTGTGGGTGGGTGTGGGTGTGGGGTGTGGGTGTTGGTGTGGGTGTGGGATGTGGGTGCGTGGGTGTTAATCTTCTCTTCACCCACACTCACACCCACCCCCAACCCACACCCACACTCACACCCACCCACACCCACATCCACCCCCACACGCACACGCACACCCATCCCCACCCACACCCTATTCTTCAATAAGTGAATGTACACGAGCGACAGTTTTTTCTTCATCAAACGATGTATTTGATGGATCTTGATTAATTATTGTTGCTGATTCATTTGTTGATGTTTGATTTATTTGTATTGATAAATTAACATTTGATATACATTCACTAACACTTGATTCACGTGATGCATTACGAGATTGTTCACGACTAACATTACATGAACCTTCACATGAATTTGTCATGGATGATGCACCAGCTGTATTTATTGGACTATTTATGCCACTACCAGTTGTTGTCTTACGTAATGATTGTAAAGCATTTTCACGATTACGTTGACTATTTTCACGTGCTAATTCCTAGAAACAATATAGACTAAATATTTGTACAAGAATGAAGATGTTTTGGCTTTTAATCTTACACGTGATGATTGACGTTGCATTGTATATATTGAACCACTTTGAGTTGAATCAATTTTACCTTTAAGTTGTTGAACAGGACCAGCAGGTGATTTACCAGTACTAAACATCAAAAACAAAACAAAAATGAATAAATCATTTGAATTTATTTTCTTACCGTGTATTACTAAATAGACGATCTTCTTCAGGTTTCTTCTCAATGCCTGATCTTTTTGACCATGTTCGTTGTGAAGCTAAACTCATTGCCTATGAAAAAAACAATTGAATCATATTAATTATATATTAATTCTAATGAAAGATCTCTTACGAATGGCCCTTGATTTCGCTTTTCATTGGACTGTAATTGTCTTAAAGTATTAAAAGTAAATCGATTTTCTATTCTATCTTCTTCATTTCTATTTGATTGTTGTTTAACTCCACCATCATGACTACCACATCCATCGTTATACTGCTGTTGACCACTTCCACTATAGTCACTGTCAATCATAGGAACACAATTTTGATCTCGATGTTGTTGTCGTTTACGTTCTGATTCATCAATTTCATCAATTGTTGCTTGTTCAGTTTCAGCACGACGAGCAACCCATGAAGCCTAGGTGATGAGAGAAAGCTTAAGAAATATAGTCATAAGTTCTACTGTGTGCAATTGAGATCATACGGTTATGCTAGAATATAACGAAAGCGACCTCTCGCTACTCATACCTATAGAGTACCCAATAAAAATTAATAAGACATACGTCATAACATAAAGGAAATATTGTTCTAGATAACTACGTATGTCTTTCTCTGCTGTTTGTTGTTCTATTTACAGTGAAGGTCCGGACCAACCAACATTGGACGAGAAGGGTGGGATAATTGTTGGAATTATTTTGCAAAAGGAGAATATCTTTCTTCGAACAGAATGAAAAGGGAGAATTATAACTGTGCTAGGAAAAACCTAATGATATCAGAGTCATGTCAAAAGTAATATATTATTTGTTGATAGTCATTCATTAGATATTTCTTTTTCGACTTACTTGTCTTAATTCTATAAGATCTTGAATCATAAAACGAATACGTGCTGATGTTTTCTGTTCTTTCACAATTGTATTTAATTCACGATAATGTTTTTCCAAAATGGTTTTATTTGTAGACTAGAAGAAACAAAAATATCAATGAAATAGAAAATAGTCGTAAAAAAAACAATCATTATACTTTTTCATTAGCTTTAGCATCCAGCTCTTTACCAATAATACGTAAAAGATTACATATATATCGAAGACTTTCTTCATCAGTTTTATCACGAAGTAAATATTCAATACAATCATACATGATCGTATCAGTTAACATGTGTAATTTAAATAATTCACCAATAAAACTAAAATAAAAAAAAGATTAGTTGTTTATTTTTTAATGTTTATATTTCAAAAACGAAAACGAAATGTCTCAATCGGATGAAACTGAAGAACATTATAGTGAAAAAAAAAGGTTATGACTTTTGCTGTAGAAAAAGATATTTCTACATAAATCAAATTACGTTTTAATATTCCAGGCAATTTTGGAAATAAAATATATACTTACCAAATATTTCCTAATTTTCTTCGTTTAACTTTAAGAAGGTCGTCTTCTAATTTTTCTGCTTCTTCTTTATTTATTTTTTCATCTGTTATAGCTTCAACTTCAGCTTTTCGTTTTTCATATTCAATTTCTTGTCTATAATCAGTTTCAAATTCTTTTTGACAACGTGTTAATAATATTTGACGAAAATAATATATTACTGGTTTACCATCTTCATCTGGTACAGTGACTTGTTTCTAGCACATTCGAAGTTAATTATATAAAAAGAAATATTTTAAAGAACACAAAAAGAAAAGTATATATACATACTTTTTGAAATTGTTTACATAATTTTGCACATAGAACACGAAATGGTGGTTCATCAACAGCTTTAGAAAACAATATCGATATCATTCCTTCTAATCTTTCAAAACGATCAATTTCTAATGCCTCAAGTTTTTTCTGTAATTTATCATATGTTTGTGGTGTGAATTTATTTAATATTGCTTTAACATCACGTAAAACTTTATTATTAGCATCAATTTTAGTTTGATCAACTGGTTTATAAGGATTTTCAACACGATTACCAAAATCAGGTTCATTTATTATATAAATTGGTGTTTTAGGTCTTGAATCACTTGAAGAATTTTGATTATTTGGATAACGTGTTAATGATGGATGATTACTTGCTGATAATTGTCGATGAAATGGAGGATTGATACGTCCTTGACTATTTGTACCTGTATATGAATAACGTGCAGTATTATTATCACGTCGATTAAGAACAATATTTAGGTCAGGAAGATTTTGTGGCAGGTGTAAGTGTGAGTGGGGATGGATTGTGGACGTGCGGCTCTCTCGAATGACACGCACCCACTCACATACGCACAGCTGCACAGCCCATATCGGCATGAACTTTCACATCAACATCAGCACCAACATCTACATTTACATCAACATCCAGATCCACACTCATGCACCCTCACCTCGCTTCTACACTCACACCGTTATATGTCGATGTTAAGTGTTCTCTTACAATTCAAGCCTCTAGATGGAGCTCTTTTTTAGAAAGAGAGCACCATTCATAGATTTAGACGATGGAGTCTACCGTAACAGGCACAAAGATGTGATGGATTCCGTTTTTCGAATGATTCTTGTTCGTCTGGTTTTTTGAGTCTGGAATAAGCGCAGGTGCATGAAAAGTCCCTGGAGAACATCTACAGACAAATTCCATGAAGCAAGTTACTCATTTTTATGCTTTCTATGAGATAAAGTTAGAGTGACATGACTCTTTAGATTTTTCACACCAAAGTAGAGGATCACAAAAGCGTGTGGACTATTAACGCTTAGGAGAGATATTTTTTCGAGAAACTGGGATGTGAGTGTGAGTGTGGGGTGTGTGTGTGGGTGTGGGTGTTTCTCACAAGAAGACTCACAGCCACCCACCCACGGAAAAATTTTTGAACAAAAATCGCGAGAAACCGCGGTTTCACAAACTACGGTAATCAACGATTTTCCGAAACCGCGAAAGTCAGACCTTTTATGCGGTTTTTGAAAACCGCCAAGAACCGCGGTAATTTCACACCGCGGTTTTCCCCGGTATCCAAAGCCGCATAAAAGGTCTGACTTTCGCGGTTTATTCAAGCGGTGATGACCGCAGTGTACCAATACCGGAGTTTTTGGTGGTTTTAAAAAACCGAATAAAAGGTCTGACTTTCGCGGTTTCCTGGAACCGCTGGAAAACGCGGTTTCCATGACCATACCTGATTCAGGTATGATCAGACTCACCTAAACTTATGATAAAGTTCAGGCGAGCGACCCTTCAAGGGGTCTGTAGTGAACTTTAGAAGTTCCATTACCACCAAGTTACTTTGTAGTGAGAGATAGAATAAGAAAACTTATGCAAAATTTTCATGAAAATAGCGGGGCACGACATCCTCTTCGTCCTTACACATTCCATCGCGATGGTTTAAGCACCAAAAATACCGCGGTTTCTCTGCTGAAAAACGCGGTAATAAATAACGCGATTATCCGATGGCATACCGGGGTTTCTGAAACCGCTGAATGCTGTGGTATTTGCCACCGCAGTTACTAATGACTATACCACGGTTTTATAAACCATTGAATACCGTATTATTTATCACCGCGGTTACTGATGGTTACACCGCGGTTTTAGAAACCGCTGAATATCGCGGTATATATTACCGCAATAAATAATGACTATACCACAGTTTTTGAAATCGCTCAATACCGCCCTTATTAACCACCGCGACTACTGATGACTATACAGCGGTTTTAGAAACCGCTAGATACCGCGGTGTTTATCACCGCAATTACTGATGGCTGTACCGCGGTTTTAGAAACTGTTCAATGCCGCGGTATTTACCACCGCGGCTATTAGTGACTATACCGCGTTTTTGAAAACCACTCAATACCGCGATGTTTACCACCGCGAGTATTGATGACTATACCGCGGTTTCTGAAACCACTAAATACTGCGGTATTTATTACCGCAATAACTAATGACTGTATCGCAATTTTTGAAACCGCTCAGTACCGCCCTACTTACCACCACGGTTACCGATGAATATACCGCAGTTTAAAAAACCACTCAATACTGCGGTATTTATCATCTCGGTTACTGATGACTATACCGCAGTTTTGAAAACCGCTGAATACCGTGCTATGAAATACCGCGGTTTCCAATTACCATACCGCGACTTTTTAGACCGTTGAATACCGCGGTATTTAGAACCGCGATCATGAATACGAGTAACGCGGTTTCAGAAAACCGCGGTTCAAAAAAACCGCTATCAACCGCGGTTTCCTCTAGTAAAACCGCGGTCGAATGAAAAAAATCGCGGTTTTGAGCGGTTTTTCGAAAAAAAATTTTCCGTGGGCACATCCAAATACATACTCCACACCCACATCCACACCCACCCACACCCACACCCCACACCCATCCACACTCACACTCCACACCCACCCACATCCACATCCTCAAGACCATTGATTCCTCTTGTAGATTTGCCTGCATCACCACTGGTAGTGTACATACCAATTGGCAGCGGTTCTTGCATCTTCATCTGACTCTTATGATCTACTTTAATTTGAGAAATCAGTTCTTCTGGTTCACTAGTGATCTTTACCTAAATTGGCAGAATAAAACGACTGAAACGTTTCAGACCAACTGTACCTTGACGAACTCATTTGTCCATTGTTCATCGCTCTTCTTGTCTGTGGAGTTAACATAGATTGCTGAGACTTGTCGAAGTTTATGAATAGAAGGTACCAATTGTCGACTCAACTGACTACTAACAATGAGAACTAGTCGATCATGTTTTGGTCTTTGTTGTATGTATTGTTTACACTCTTCTCCATCTTGAAATATCTTTAGATGATTGATGATTGGACGTAGTCTTTGCTGTGTATCTTGATTTCCTTCGTGGTGAACGTTTATATCGAACCAGATAAGAGTGAATAATTCAAGATGATCGTTATTGCCATTTTTAAGAGAATTAACAGAAGATTGACTAGCCATGGCCATCTACATAACTAGAAACAAAGAAATCGTAGCGCTGCAAAAATTTATCTGATTCACATGAGGATCGAGCGTGCTTTGTTTTAGGATTTTACCCAACAAAAGGAATATTCCAGTCAGAGGCATTACCAGAAGACACAGATCGCCTTCTCAGAAAGTTATTTCTGTTAACGAGGTATGAGTAAAACAAATTTTTGCAAGCAAAAACGCTTCTATCTTCCATGTTGAAATCCACTCACCGTGCGAGTGGGACATGGAGTGTGAGCGTGTGCGATGTGGGTGAATGCGGCTCTCTTTTTCACCCACAAACCCGCCCACACCTGCACCCACACTCACTCTGGAAACATTTTCGGTTTCACTGCTAAGTATTTCTATGTTAAGCAAAGATTTCACACTCGCTGTCAACGATCCACTCATTCTTCTTCATAGGCAAACTTTCGAAGCATGAAAGTATCGTCTTTAGTCTTTATCTTATGAAATAAGCAGTGACATTATTTTCATAGTTCGATCTCAATATCGAAAATCACGAAAAGATCATAAATAGAATAGGGCACAAACTCAGAAAGCTAGTCATCTAAAATGTGGACAAAACTCTACAAGAACCATTAAATCAATAAAACTGTGTACCTGACCTCGTAGCGTCACCTTTTGAAAATATAGGAATATATAGGAATCTAAAATATTATTTATATAATATTGCCTGTTCCTATATAGGACATATATAGGACAATGTTTCAAGCGAAGATTGGAATCCTTTTTCTGTAAATGTCATAGAAAGTGAATAAATGAATCAAGAGAACTGCAAATTCTAGCTCTTTTCCTACATATTATCTAATATAATGTTCAAATCATAGGCGGCGCGCCAGCAATGCAATGGTTAGCAATTGCAACCCCTAAAATAAATTATTAGAAGCAATAAAAACTTATTGCTTTCTTTAATATTTTACGCTTTTTGTATATCCTACGTTAAAAATTTTACTTAACATAAATATATTCGATGTGATTCTGTAGTTTATGTATGATGATGGTATCTTAGTCTCAGGAATTGTTTATTGCTATCTTGGTGTATGTGTTTTCCTGCTATATATAACAAGTACTCCATAATAAATGCTCTGCTTTTCTATTTCATATCTGAATCTTTAAATACTTTTTAGAAAAACAGAAAATAGCACTAGGTGCAGCGTGAAAAGCTCTACAATCAAATAAAGCAAAGCTTATTTTAATTGTGTGCTTGGTCTTTTCAAAAATAATGGCGTAACCAGGATTTTGGCAGTGATAGGGCACCGTATCGCTTAAATATCTGGTAATTAGGCGTAGGTGAACGATGTCTGTGGAGTAGTTGGGCTCATAAAGAAATTTAGCTGACAAAACTAAGATGGGCAGTTGGACGGCGCCCAATCATGCCCTACCATAGTTATGCCACTATTCAAAAGAAACGAAATTCTGTGCAATCAATTTTCGACGCTACACAAATCGGTCTCACAGAATCTTGCTTCTTTTCAAAGCACAAAGTATACGATTAAAATAAACTTTATTTTACAGATTGTTGAGCTTTTCACGCCGCATCTTATGGTTTATTCGATAGTGTTTGAAGAGAACGCATTAGGTGATAAAACATCAAATAGAAGAAACAAGAATGCCCATTTTGCAATTGTAAAAATTGATGAAATAGAATTTTACTGTTTTCCAAAACAAAACGTTCACGATTAAAATAAGCTTTACTTTGAAAACTGTAGACATTTTCACGCTATATCTTATGGTATACCCGGTTTTAAAAGAAACGTATTTAGAGATTAAAATATGAAATACAAAAACCGGCCATTTATTATGGACACCCGTCAGAATAATATTATGAAATTGAGACTGATGCTATCGTAACTGTGCAAACACTTGTTAGATCTAATAGTGTTCCAAGACCAAAATTAAAGAAGTAAGTCTACAAGGGCTGGCCCGAGGTAGACAAAATTGCGGGTTGTCGCAATTTTTTGGGGGATTGTCCCAGATTTTCCAATAAAAATAATTTTTTTAACAGAACGCAAAAAATTTCGACTTCGCTGAAAAAGAACAAAAATTTTCAATTATAGGAAGGTTGTCACAACACCCACAGTCCCCGGGTCGGGTCAACCCTGAAATCTATTCAATAAAAAGTGCATAAAATAATTAAAGTGAGCTTAATGCAGTACCAGAGGAGTTAATGCTCAAGCTTTACATACGGCATACTCGAGAAGTTAAGTTCTCGCGAAAAAAAAATTTTCTATCGAACTGAATGGGGGGCGGGGCGATAGAACTCACTTAACAGTTTATTGCTACCCCTATAAAACTGACCTTGCGCCGCCCATGGTTCAAATAATTTATCTTCGGGTCGTGGAAAGTGAAACAAAATACTTTTCTCTGAAAAAATACAAAAACAAGTGATTCTCTTCGATTTGCTTTCA